ACGTGTAGACAAGTAGCGGCCTCCCGCGGCGATCTCTGTAACTTGCTTTTTCGCTCAAAGATGCACAGACGATTTTTCACTTACAACCAACGGGGCCGATGCCGACGGCGGGATTTCTGCGACACGAGCTTTCTAATGCTATTGCGTTAAAACGTGATCTCGTGTCGGAGCAGCAACAGGCGCGTCGCGAGGCTCTACGTAGCATGTGAAGCAAAACGGAACAGCAGCGCCATTAGTTCGCACGTCAGCTGCTTGTGCCGGCGCGCGCAAGAAATAAGCTGGTCTTTTTTGCCAGTGCCGGTTGCCGCAAATGTTTGTCTCCAATGGTGGGTCTGCCGTGAACGGCACCGCGGGCAGTCTATGGTGGGCCCTCGTCGTGAGTGTTTTAGTGTGTTCATGTTGTTGAGTGTTGATTGATATTGTGTGAGGATGTCTTAGCATGTTTATCATGATTGATGTTATGATTATTCGGCTGATAATATCATCATTTTAAATTAGTTAAATAAATGTGTGTTGTTGTTGGGGTTTGTTGCGACCATGTCTACTGCGTCCGTTCACTCCAAGAGCGTGGCGTGGCTCTCTCCGCAGCGAGACCCCCCAATTTGAAGGTAATATATTCATTTAACCTTGAACTGGGGCTTCGCGGCAATGCGGCTCTACGCTGGATATAAGTTTTCATCGCTGTGCACCTTTTACTGCAGTAAAGTTGTCTTCACAAAAGGTGACATGCAAACTAATTTTTTTTCTGCATTGATATGGTTCAAGAATCATGAGGATAACTTGACCACTCGGGCTAATTTCGCTAAGGAGATAAAGAAGTGCTTTGGCGACCAGCCTGTGAAAAAGAAGCGTGCAGAGTAGACGCTGAGTCAACGCGTTCAAGTCCCGGGAGAAATTTGCTCGACGTACAATGTGTGGGAATTGAGGCTAGCCCGCTGCCTTTGTGCGGGCTTTGCCGACTTTTCTGCCGTTCTCATGCCCCGACATGTCTGCCCTCCTTTGCTGTCTGCCGTGGTGGGAGAGCGGAGTGACGTTTAACTCCTTCACCCGGAAGCGGATGTTGACTGTGGCGCCGCGCGCGGAGTCTCCCGAGAGGCTTTCGCGCGTTGCATCGGGAGCGGACAGATACTCTCCGGGACTGCAAACGGTGAGCCACGCAATCTTTTCCGTCCGTCGACTCCCGTCGCTCGGGTCTCGTCAGACTTCGCTGATGGCGCCTCGCGCCCGAGGCGAACGCTCACCTTTTGTTGCCCCACTGCGTACGCACGGCCGAAGGGCGGTACGGTGTCCTAGAGCGTGGCCTAGCTACGCCGACCCGTCTCCCTTCGAAGCCAATGCGAGCGCCTTTGCCCTCGCTCGAGCAACCGGGCCTTGGTCCCGGTGTCTCCGTGGATCACCTTTACCGCGGAGACGTGCTCGTGGCACCCTGTGTAGTACTTTGTGCCCGTGGCGTGAATAAGCCTATTTGCTTTCCCGCTGCGCCTTTTTGCAACGGGCTGTACTGCGTTTGGTGTTGCCACAATAAAGTGTTGCGACTTTGAGCAGTATCGTGTCCTCGTCACGGAGATGGTTAACGCGTGCCCTGCGGCTCGCTAAGACTGGACCCACGCTGGTAGCCGTACTCCTTTGGGATACGTGTACACCACAAATGAGGAAGTACTGAAGTTGTGCAAAAGTGTGGATTCGCCCATGACAGATGAGGATAAGGTCGGCCATCTCTTCTAAGGCATCTCTGAGGACATTTACAACTACCTCATAGGCAAAGATGACTTATAGTCTACAAATGACATCACCTGACAGTGCTGAACCTTTGAGGCACTTAAGCTCAGGGCATCTTGGCAAAGTTTGGTCGGCCTCCTAATGTCACCACTGTCGCGAGCATTGACGTGGGCCCTCTGTCTAGAAATCTTTTTTTTTTTTTATTCAATTCAATCAATCAATTATAAATGAATTACACAGTACACACTGACATGTAAGGGACAGAGAAGACAAAAAGGCAAATTATTGCCTGAAAAGGTGTGATAACCCGTCCCAGTCAATAAGGCATACAAGGAGCAGTAATGAGCATGCGCTAAACACAAACAAACAAGTAGTGGTAGTTTCACACTTTTTATAAATGTTCATAAAACATCGTTAAGAAAATACTGATGCTTTAAGACCTATCTGTAAGACTTAATTTGTTGTAGTAATGTAGAGTAATATATACATTTATTTCAGACAATGAAACAATATTTATAGAGATGCTTCTATGGCTTAGCACCTTTACAGAAGGTTACATGCGGAATAACATTTACCTATTGGTCTATTGCAAATACTTCGAAATTTTCAATCATTTAAATTCTGATCGAAGCGAAGTCGAATACAGTCGACTCCCGGTAATTCGAAGTCGCTTAATTGGAAGTTTCGGTTAATTAGAAATGAGCAAGTGGTCCCAACAGTTTTGCATGCAATCGTATAGATAAAAAATGCTCGATAATTCGAAGTTAAAAACCCATAATATTGGTTAATTAGAAGTTTTTTCAATCGACAGTCTCGTCGCAACCGTAATTTTACAGTAAAATGGGGAACTTTTCATGTGCCAAAACATCTGCCGGACCGCGCTGGTGTCTTCGCCATCACTACTGTCCGCAGCGCCACAGATCTTGAAGCGGCAATCTTTTTAACGCTGGCGAATCGCATCGGCAGCATCGACTGACTCTTTAGTTGACTTTTGTCGAGACTCGAGTGTGTCACCGCGTCACCCGCGCGCTGGGTTGATTCCACACGTGTTTCCGCGCTTCTGATTTTGAGTGTTGTGGTGGTGACGTACGTTTGATAATGGCAACTCGTGGCCCTTACCGAACGCTAGACCTAGCGACGAAAGTCGAAGTCTTGAAGGAAGTTGACCAGGGAGGCACCGCCAAACAAGACATTGCAAGAAAATACGGCATTAAGCCTAACACGCTGTCGACTTTCATAAAGATAAAGCACTCAATTTTGGATGCGTTTGAAAGTGAAAAATTCAAGACATCGCGGAAGCGGATGCGCACCGGCGCCTACCCCGAGTTGGAGGAAGCACTGCTGATTTGGATCAGAGAGGCACGAAGCAACAAACTTCCTCTCAGTGATGAAGTCGTCACGGCAAAAGCGTCATCGCTTGCTGAAATGTTGGGCATCAACGACTTCGCTGCTTCGGATGGGTGGCTTACGCGTTTCAAACATCGCCACGACTTGATTTTTAAAAGCGTGTGTGGGGAGAAAGCGTCAGTCGATGAGGAAACGTGCCTGACATGGAAAGCGGGCAAGCTTCGCGAGTACCTCGAAGAATACCAGCCGGCAGACATTTTTAATGCAGACGAGACTGCGCTTTTTTATGGGCTGCTACCAGACAAGACGCTGACATTTAAAGACGACGACTGTTCTGGAGGCAAAAGAAGCAAAGAGAGAGTGTCAGTGCTAGTCGCGGCGAACATGACTGGCACAGAACGGTGTCGCCTGCTTGTGATCGGGAAGGCCGCCAAGCCTAGGTGCTTTAAAGGCGTGAAGAGGCTTCCTGTGGATTATGCCTCGAACAGAAAGGCGTGGATGACATCCGATATATTTAAGGACTGGATCACCAAACTCGTCCGCAAGTTCGCTCAATCAAGCCGTAAGGTGTTGTTCCTTGTGGACCAATGTAGTGCCCACATGAACGTACCTGCCTTGAGTGCCATCCGTCTTGTGTACCTGCCTGCAAACACGACGTCAGTGTTGCAGCCCATGGACCAGGGCATAATAAAAAATGTGAAGGTATTGTATAGGCAGCATCTCGTCGAGCGCATGCTTTTGTGCATGGACTACTCGTCGCAACACGAGGTGAGTTTGCTTAGTGCCATCAGCATGCTAGCGCGAGCTTGGACCCGCGTGAAAGAAGAAACCATCGCCAATTATTTCCGGGCCTGTGGTTTCATGGAAAACTCGGGGGATGCTTCTCCTTGTGCGCCAGTGGAAGTGCAAACAAATGAGCTCGACGACGGTAGCTTTCGCGCCGCTCTCGGTGACGTCCGTTTTGACGAGTATGTCGCTGTGGACAGCAACGTCGAAACATGCGGTCCACTAACGGACAGCGAAATCGTGCAGATGGTTCGGCCCCATGACTGCATTCCTGAAAATGACGATGATGACGACATCGGAAATGAGCCACCACTGGGGGCTGCCGATGTAGCTGCGGGTCTTGCTCTTGCGCAGCGGTTTTTTGTTGGAGAACACAACGCTGAAGAAGCACTTCGACACGTGTATTCCTTACAAAACTTGCTAGCCGCAGCCAGATTCGGCAAGCAGAAGAAGATGACAGACTATTTTTCCTCAAAACTGTCGCGCTTTTAAACTAATAAAAGTGCCGTTTTTAGTGCTTTTTGCTTAATTCGAAGTTTTTTGCGGTTCCCGTGAACTTCGTATTAACGGGAGTCGACTGTACTGTATTATTCGTTCGAACATTCGAAATATTTGAATATTCTCACAAGCATAACTGATGCGCTGCCCGCACCACAGTCATGGAATACAGCTTTAGTGCCGCTTATAACATTACTACTGTCATTGATAGCTGACAGAAGACAATAGTACTGTTATGACTAACACTATATCTGAATTTGATGGCTGTGGTGAGGGTGGTGCACCATCATGGTCAAACACTGGCTCATTTGGTCGCATTTAAGCCTGTATGCTTGCAGACACACAAGCTTGAAGACACACAAGTGTCAAGAAGCTTTTTCCAGCCACTGGGAAATAATAAAGGTGCTTCTTCCCCCTTTTCGAACCCTCCATAATTCGAACTTTTTGGCGATTTCCATCGAGTTTGAATAAATGATTGGCGACTGTAACCAGACTGCACTGGCTGCACAGAGGTTATAACTTGTAATAAGCCCAAACTTCAGTTGATTTATGGTTACTCGGTCATTGTGTGCCATCTGCGCACTTTCACAATAGATGACATCTCCACACATCGCAAGCAGGTTGTCTAAGACCGAGACACGTAAACTTACCTCAATGGTGGTAGAGAAGACCTCCCTGAACGTAGATGGGCTCATCATGGTGAACTGTAAAGAGAATTCATTAAAGTTTCCATGTAATACGTGCTTCACAAATCGTTTTCTACCCTTATGAGGTGCTGAACTCATGAAATTAGCCCAATGCAAGAGACGAGTAATACATTACTAAGTGCTGCATATCATGCCCTGACGTGCAGCTGACAAAAAACTAGCAGCATGAGAAAAAAAAGTTTGTTCATTACGCGAGTAAATACAGCATTTTCTAACTGTGCTTGCTAGCTAATAGAGCTGGAAACGCATACCGCATTTCTCTCGACAAAAAAAGCAACGTACGGTGAACGGCGCTATTGGCTGTACGGTGTAAAGAAAAGAAAACATTCTTCTGATGGTGGGTTTGCACGTGCGAAACACTGTTTTAGACACTACGCAATGCATTCGCATTTCCTCACGATTCATTTCCCGGAGATAGGGGAATTTTTTTAGTACATCATCTCTATACAGATTATGCCGGGCCCAAGCCGCGTCGCCGCGAAAACGGGCGTGTCTAATCAAAGTTGCACTGTACTTATGCATTGTAGCAATTCCACGGCAACCAACATCAAACCTGTTACGAGGGACCAGATAAAGCATGCCTGAAATATGCTCGATGACTGTAACTCTGATAACTTAAACTTTCATAATTTTTACCTACCCATACCTGCTGCCATTGGTGTTATTAGCTGAACTAGCTGAATATTCACAATCTTGAGTAGGCAAAAGTCACAGATAATGTCGATTTCCGGCACTACCAAAACTGTAGATGCAAACAAGTTAATGTCGATTGAGAAAAAACAGGGGAGTAAAAAAATACCAGGGCAGCCTGAATTTTTATAGCATTCAAACAAACATGGACTGAGAAAGACTTAACACATGCAGGTGCTACTTGCTAGTATGTTCATTTCAAAACAAGAAAACACATACACAGTTGAACCCCTTTATAAAAAACATGCACAGGAGAGCAATTCGTGTCTATATATGAGGGGTATAAGCAGAGGGCCATGTATAGATTATCCGATGAAGCACTATATCAATGTAGGCACTCATTTGTCTTGCACTATATTAAATTGTCGCAACGTGCAAAGAACAGGACACAAGGCTTTCTTTCGACGTTAACAGCAAGGCTCTATTCAAACACAAAAACAAAGCACAAGAACAGACGCGCAAAGTCGTCTTCCTCGAAAAATGCCAGAGACTGCCGCTCGTGATGCTGGCTTCTTCCTCCTTCTGTGTTTACAACTAATAACTGTGACAATATATACTCATTTGTCTCTTGCATCAGTGTCTCTTGTAAAGGGGCTTGAATGTATAGGCAATATCCCTTTTCAACCATCACCATTATATGCACTGGGCAAATTCAGCTATCTTAGCGTAGATAGGCTAACTCTTTGAAGGGGCCCTGCAATACTATTTGAACAGCCCTATTTAGCACCAGAACATGTGTAGCGATGATTACTGAGATGAATGCAGCAAGAATAATGGGAATTGGTGCACAGACAGTGAAGTTATGAGTCCTCAAAGTTCAAAACTCGAGCAGACAACGAGGAGAAGTGTTCTCTTTCGCATTACACTCGCCTGTTGACGTCAAAGACCGCTTCCAGTCACAGCATGCGTCTCATAAAGACATTCCGGAAATGTCACCTCATGGTGGCCTTCACACAATACCTTACTACCACTCTTTTTAACGGCATCTTTAGCATGGTAACTATGAACTGCGTGCGTCAAGTACAACCTTAGAAGACGCTCCCACGGTCACACGGTGTAAAATACACACGTACACTTTGAGCAGGGTTACTTCTCAGCTTGCATGCAAGACTGGTTCTACGTCAACGCCGGCGCTTGCCGCTTGTCGCATTGTTGGCTCGCTAAAAACACGGCATGCCTTTCCATGTTTAGTTGCTTGCTGGCATACCATATCCTCGGTCGCAGGCTGTGTTGTGTTCGTTCTTCTCAAAATACATCATTTCGAAACAGGAATGATTGCTTTCTGAGAAAATATAAAAAGGTTTTTGGTGTTTTTACGATTCACTCGTATGGCCTAGCTACCACCATATGTATCTTGCACGCTATTTCTCGCGCCAAGTCAATCGAAAGCGAACGGTGTTTGTCGACACGTCACATCACATTACATCACTTCCCATAACAAAAATAGCCAATGTGTGTTGCCGCAGTCTGAAAGCAAGGTAGTTTGTCCCGTGAATTAAAATTATAACAGCGTCGATTTCAGCGTTGCCATTTGCGCAACGATATCGGTGCATTCCAGAGCACCTGAAGAACCAATGAAAAATACATGCTCAAATAGTGTCGCAGGGGCCCTTTAAAGAGGGAGGCTTGACTTGATAGCCAACTTTTTTATTTATGTATAAATCTGAACGAAATTTTCAGTCTGTATATTTAGATGTGCAGATTCTAAAAATGTAATTACTTTTTTTAAAGGTCCAGTAGTTTCCAAGATACTTTACAATCAAAGTAAAACCTCAGTCCTTTGTTTGCAGCCTAATTAGCATCCAAGCAAGAAGCACCAAAACACTGGCAACATTGAAAAAGCAATGTAGGATGTTTAAGGAGTGCAATATACTATAAATCAATTTGCTTGGCCAATTTCGACAAGAGTTAGAGAACATCAATGGTCACAAAAAAAAAGCCACCTTCACCTGTCATGCATGTGACCCAATTAAAAATATTTTTGATCTGTATATTGCCTTCAAAATAGGCTCATCGTATACTGCATGCATTTATCTTTCTAGCAAAAAAAATTATCCTGATAGCTCAAATGGAACAGAAGGTGTTTAGTTATTTTCCCTCCAACTTGGCAAATGTGCCAAAATTGCTATTTTGAGAAAACGAGAAAAAACAATTCAGAACAGCTTTATTGAAAAAATACTAATAAAATCTTATGAAAATGCTCGAGGGGCACAATCAGGATGTATCCTATTCTTGTGCTACTTCTTGACAAGCTTTTTCAGACTCTGGGACACTTCTCTTTATTTATTTGAGGTTGCACTCTGACAACAGTCCTTTTATCTGGCCCTCAGGGATGTGCTGCTGAATATCGTGATGTCCAGCTGCTCTAGAATCGCAGCAAATACATCGACATTGCCCGTGTTGAAGCATAGCACAACACAGCTTCTGCAAAAGCAGCTTGCACAGCAAAAAGAGAAGTGTGCTACTCCTTTGATACCAAACTCCATATAACGAATTGGAGGCTTTCGTGTGAATTCTGAGTCACGCATTGCTGGCATCTTGCCTCGCTGCCGCACCACTTGACTCCGATAAGCGGTCAATTTTTCGCGCTGTTGCCGACCCCGACGAAAGAACCTCAAGCGTCATGATTGTCTCGCGGGCGCGCGTCGCGAACCTCACTGGCACCGATCAAATCAGCGTCTACCTGCACATGACCGGAGTTGACATCACACGCGCTGTCAGGGAGGCCAGTGTCTACGTGCACTTCACCATTGCCGGTAGCAATGGCGCGGTCATAATCTACAGAGCATCCGCTATCCAGGGAAGCCGTCTCGCACATTCCTTCATTGGTAACATTTTCAGTACACCGGCGGCCAGCGGCCACACCGCACACGCCCGGGGAATCATTTTTAGTTACGCCAGCGTTATCAATACAGCGTTATCAAACAACGTCGGCGCTTGATCCTGCGGCACAGTAGCAGCACCATTGGGCTTTGTGCTGTGAACGGCCATAATGATGCTGCGATCGAAACTTTTCCACTTTTCGCTGTGCATAGCGAGATGCATAAGCATGTTAGGGATACGACACCTTTGCAAGTACGCTACCCTTTCGAAATGGCGGCAGACACTGCCAGCGAGTTTTCCTGGCTAATCAGGAAGGACTATTTTGGAAGCAATCAATAGCTTGTGCTGCGCGTGATTGTGACTTTGCTTCTCTTGCTTCTGCGAGGGGCACATAGTTGTCTACTGGAAAAGAAAAAAAAGCTAGAAAGGCGACCTTTCTAAATAGACCAATAAGGCGCTGGCAGAGCACTTAGTTCGCGTGCTGTCGGCGGTTGAAGTAAGGCTAGTTTACACTTCAATTTAAAGGTCCGCTTGCGCGTAGTTGCCGTCTTTAAAGATTGGTTTTAACTTGAGAAATAAGCAGAATTTCGAAGACAAACATTGCTGATAGGTGCGGAAGGGCACAAAACAAAAGGTCACCCACTTTTGCCTGCCCTGCCCCTTGTTCTAATCAAGATAGCCCCCCTTCAGAAAAAAAAAAAAATCTGCCAACGCGCCTACTGTCTGTAACTTCAGCTCGCAGGGTTCCTTGCTTATTGATTACGTCTGTATAGAATGGGCTCATCGCCACTGTCACTTCCTTTTGATGTCTTTTTGATCTACAGGCAAAAACCTGGTAAGCTTCGAAAACTGATTCATCTTCAAAGAGGTGTCGTGAAATATCTCAGATTATGAATGAAGCAGCAAAAAAAAAGTCTGGACAAAGGTAATTTTACTAAAACATTAAATTGCCATTTAAATCACTGTGCGCAAGACCTCGCAGCATGCTCAAGGACGTAAAGTGATACGGCTGGCTAATGGCACTTTTTACATCACGATTTACCCCTTTGTACAAGCTCTGGCCAGTGAACCAATCATTCATAATTTTCACTCATGTGTGGCTCGATAGCGATCCAATGTGCAACGTGTGACCACCGTAGAGATTTGGTGCAATAAATATTAGAAGCGTGCCGCAGAAAATGTAACAACTCTGAATGAGGCATGCGCGTACGTGATTCTCACGTTTGCCCGAAATCAGAAAGGTTGCCGCTGCATGTGGCTGTAAGAATGCTGTGTTGCTTCCCACAAAGCGGGGAATTCACTTGCGCTGTGTTTTGTAGGGTTGTGTGTGCTAAACATGAATGTAATTTGCGCATGCTTGTCACAAATGTCAACCGCGGCCTGTTTCTTATGCAAACCTACAATGAATGAAGTAGCGTGGTTGCACGCATTTCTTGCAGCAGAGATATGTTTCTTTATTGTTAATACCCATCTGATGTTTCCATTCTACACAGAATGAGTTGTCACCTTTTAAAAAAACGGCGCGCTTGGCCGCGCTCCATTCGTGACATCAAAAAGTGGGTGGTCCACATAGGTGTCTATAGCGGACAGGCATGGTGAGAAGTGTAACACTTTTCCAGAGCAGTTATTTAGCACTTCGTACAGTCAGGGAAGAAGCTGAAGCAATTTTTTGCTGATTTCGTTGAGTGAAATACAAGAATAAAGTAACGATAAGAAGAGAAAACGTAATGGCGGCTGCGGGCTGCACACAAGAGGGCGACGGAGCAATCCACAAGGATGCCTCAGCATGGTGGCGCCACGGTGTGTGCTTGCGCCAAAGTGGTTCGACTGCACAGCAGAGATCGAGTTCGCCGTTGAGAAGTTTTCCTGAATAAAGCTGGAACACTTCAGCGTGAAGTTCTTCAACATATGACGATCGGCGTGATCAGTATGGGAGAAAGCAGAAGAGTGTGCGTTTGCCCCTACAAGCTTCCTGCAGTTGAAGAAGGCCTTTTCAATTATGTGTAAACCACAAAGCCATCCAGTATCGCCGTGTCGCGAGACCCAGTTTCTCGCAGCATTGTTGAGAAGAGTTTCCAGAAAATGAGACAATCAAAGTGCTCGACAGAACAATGTGCTTTAGGAGAGCAAGGGCGGTGACTCGGCCATGACGATGTTTCTCAATCGGACCTCTCAATCAGCGATTCCGACAAGACTGCGTGCAAACGAATCTGACTGGTTGACATACGTGCTAATTCTGTTAAATTAGAAAGTAAACTTTATTTGTGTTCAGAGTTATTATTTCATTTAAATGTGTATGCTGTTCGCATTAGGACCATTACACACAGTATTTCGCCTGCGTTCGCGAAATCCCTATGTAGTTTGCACACCCCCTTCTCGGAGCCCTAAAACATCAAAAAAAAAAGTAAGTAAGTAAGGTAGTATTTTAAGGGTGCGATCCCAATCGCTGGCATGTGTTCTATCTTGACAAGCATCAGCGCACAGCTCGTATATACATGCTGCACTCTCAAAGCAAACAGATTGCTCAAAAAGAGCATTTCTCCCAGGAGCAGCTGTATTCTCGTCCACCAGTGTTATGTAGACTTAGTCGACGTCCGATTTCACGCATGTGCCTGATTTCCTGAACTCAACTGTGGCACCGTCAACTTCTTCTAATGTATTGAAAAGTCCAAAATTCCGGACGTTTATAGCTTTTGCCATCCGATTTTCCTCACTTTTTACCGCTAACCGTGGACTCGAAGTCGGCCTCAACGCCGCCATTCAGATAGTTTTCGTACCATTGAACCCACCGTGCTGCGGCTGCCGTAGCCTCAAAACCTCAAATGCCGCAATCCCGCGTAAGCCAATCTGTTGCCAGTGATAGCTTAGTCAAACCTGTGGCCACAGCCGCATGGTGCTGTGCAGCCTGTGCTCCGACAGTGAGAAAAACTATGCTGTTGATCTATGGCCTGCCGTCGGCATGCTTGCAGGCTCGTGGAAGGTGACAGACCCTTTGGAACTGTTTTCGCCCCGCGAGCTTCATATTGGAAGCCAAAACAGCCGTGTCGCCCGGAATAGACGGCATGTGCGACAAGCTTCCACCTGCGGACGTTGCCTTCGAGGATCTGCACGCTGTCTCTGTTTCGATTCCAGCCGGGATAACCTTTGAGGGCTTTGCCAATGCTGACAAACACCTCAAGCTGCAGGCGAAATCGACCAATGATGAAATGATTCGTCAAGTTACAGGGAATTCCAGCAACTCTGACCCTGAGATCAAAGAGGCAGCGCCTACACAGCCAACGAGCTCGAAGTTTACACGACTGACACTGTCATCGGTGTACAGTGACAGCATGACATTAGCTGAAAATTAACACAGACATCATCTCGTGCAAGTGCAACATCGTCCTAACGAAAATAAGTGACATTTTTTTGCGCCTAAGCGTTTAGAAATTTGATAATGTGGATCACATCAGATTTTTTTTTTTTTTTTCAATATAAACGGCTAATTGCAGACCTTTTAGCGAAGTGTGATGTTGGGCGAGTTGGTGCACAGCTTGATAAAATATTTGTGGCACAACTGACACAAGCAATCGCCCTATTTTGTCTCCTTTCTTCTTTCTTGTATCAGTTGCACCACACATATTTTATTGATCTCTTTAGAGCCACCTAAATGATACATTGACGGAATAGCAATGAGAATCCTGTACTCCTGCCGTGACCCTTTCCACTAGCGAAAAATACCCGTTAAAAAGTATTTTCGCTTGCATTCGTTTTTCCGGGCTGTCCAATTTTCCGGACGTTTTCCCGATTTTTTTTAAGGTCCGGGAAATCAAAAGTCGACTGCACGCAATATTGAATCCAAAAGTGTTAGCAGCCAGTCTTACTTCGCATACCATTACAATTTGTTGCTATCATATTCAATGCTTTGCCCTTGCAACGAAACAGATTTCTTTTCCTCCCTTTACTGAATGTTTGAAAGACATTTTTACAACACTGCTGCATCATCATCTAGCCGTGGCCTCTGATACTGGCTACAGCGACGCGCCATTGCCTCGCCTCAGTAGTGACGACACAGTTGTCCACATTTTAAAAAAAATTGCAAAGCCGGACATTGTCAGGGGCTACTCCACGCGAGCGAAGTGAAACCGTACACACATGCATTGCATAGGAAATGAAGACAGTGAAGAAAAATGAAGACAAATGAAGGAAATGACACGAATAGCACGAAAGACTATTCAGTGAAGCGCTCTCCATATGCAGCTCAAACTCAAAGGCGAACCAACAGGAATTTATTTATTAGTGGCATCACATGGTGCCACTTTAATAACGAAAAGCAATTCAGACACTTCTGCAGCAACTACAGAGTAGCGCTGCAAACTCAAGTCTTTTTTCCTTATTTCATTTTTGGTTTGATAGGAGGGGTGAGGACGCATGACACGGCAGCAAGGGAATGCCAGCTGGAGGGGCACCAGGCCGCCTCACGCACTAGTGAATGCTCGCTTTCGCTTCAGTTACTAGACTGAGGCGGCGTGCACGTCACCACCGCTTTGCGCTCTATCGGTCATGAGGTAACCACAGAAGACGCATGACCGAGAGAAAATGAAAAAAATTCAGGGCACAATTTCTACGTTGTTGGCGGGGAAAATTCGTTACATCAAGGATGTCTCACGCTGTCATTATGTTACACAGAGCTGACAATAGTTATTATGTGGAAACAGAACGACGACACAGAGACTAGAAGGACACGTCCTTCTTGTCTCTGTGTCGTCGTTCTGTTCTCGCGCTATAACTATCGTCATGTCATATCAACTAGCCCAAGCTGCCACACTTCTAACTTAAACAAAGGTTGCAAATACAGGTGCTTTAGTGGAGTTATCGCAAGGAATAGAAAAATTTCGTAATATTGAGGAATTCATTGCAAGGAGATTCATTAAAGGCAGGTTCAACAGTAGTTTTATATCAGATTCAGCTGGTAAGCTTGCCGTTCTGTTAAGCACCTGTGACAATGTTCCACAGAGCCCACAAGCTGTACCAACTATGGCACTCACCACGCCTCCAAAGTGGTCAAGGACCTCCTTCTCTTCCTTGGAGCGCACGGCGGACTGAAAAGCGGCCGTGCGGGCGTGTGCCGAGGAGGCAACTGCGGCGGCACTGCCCGTGGCTCCAGCCACAATGGCACCCGTGCCGGGTGGAAGCGTGTACACGTCTAGAGCCTGCAAAGCATACTTGACCAGCCGGATGAACACCAGCGTCTCCTTGGGTTGGAACTGCTTCTCCTCCAGTGGCCCTGCATTGCCACACACAAAAAACTCAAGAGCAAGCTTCCTCTTCCAAGACCAATGGTTTTTCAGACAGTAGAACGAGAAGCTAAAGTATGGTGTGTATGGCTAAAGTATGGCATGTACCGCCAGACTTGTAATTCAAGGAGTGCCCTACACAGTGCAATCGGAAAAGTTAATTAGAGCGCGAAAACTTGACACGATCACTCGCACACGCACACACCCATGCATCAAACACACAGCGCTCACTTCCAACTGATTTATTCATAGCTCGAAGGCTTGAATATATACAGGACACATTGTGCGCACACACACCAAAGAAAGCCAACAGCATACATTATCAAAACGTACAGTTAATCAATGTCATCGCCTTAGAGCGATAAACTGAAGTTCGCTTGGTAACAACGAAATTGAAGGGGCACTTACACGGTTATCTTTATTTTTTTCAATGAAAAAGGCTTCTAACACTTCACGTGCAGTTTTACTTGCGCTTCTGCCCAGAATCTTTGTTTCAGAAAATCGTGCATCACAACCACACGAGATGACATGCGCAACCAGGTGCGCATACTTGTCATCTCTTTTCGTTAATTTTTGGGCATGTTCCCTTAATCGGTCATTAATACACCGTTCGGTTTGGCCAAGTGGCTGACGTGGATGGCGCGGAGCAGTGGCAAAATGGTCAGCTGAAGAACATCTAGGAAGACTACGCATCTGATGACATCTTTAATATGAATGAATCGGCGCTATTCTTTAAGCTGCTACCAGGCAAAACGCTAGCATTCAAAGGCGACATGTGCACCGGCGGCAAGCATGCAAAACACAGAATATCAGTGGCGTTTTGCGTAAACATGACTGGAACCGACAAAACTCCGCTCCTCACGATTGGAATGTCTGCGAAGCCTAGATGTTTCAAAGCCGCCCGGTTGCCATCAGGGGTCATCTATCGCAGCAACACCGAAGCATGGATGACGACAAAACTCTTTGAGGAGTACGTGCGCCTCATCGATCGTCGTTTTGCGGCTAAGAACAGAAGAGTTGTTATTATTTTAGACAACGCTTCGATGCACGTCGCCCTGGACAACCTGACGGCTGTGAAGTTGGCATTTCTGCCACCAAACACAACAGCGATTTCCCAGCCCTTGGACCAAGGCATCATTCGAGCTGTGAAACAGCTCTACAAGAAGAATCTGCTGCACAGATTTCTTCTCGCCATTGAATGTGACAAATTATTCTCCATCGACCTGATTGGCACGATTCACCTGCTCCAATACTCGTGGCAGCAGGTTGAAGCAACGACAGTTCAAAATTGCTTCAAGCGTGCTGGCTTCAGTGTGTGTGCGGGCGACGCAGATGACGCCACGACACCAACGACCAGACTTCGGACATCGTACACGAAGCTTGCAAAACTCTGCTAGCTGAAGTGCTGGAGCGGCAGGGCGTTACGGAAGGCATTTCCTTCTCCGACTTCAGAGACACAGACAGCGATCTGCAGACATCTCCGGACTTGTCCAACAAAGCCATTGTTGCCTCGGTTTTCGAAGTTTCGCCAAATGATAGTGATGAGGACGACATGGAAAGCGACAACATGGGTGATCCAGGTCCGACAGTGGCCGAAGCTGCACATTGCGTCGGCGTCATGCGGGTATTTGTCGAGAAGAGGGGGCTGGCGGAAAAGCTGGCTCACAGCATAAGTGAGTTTGAGGCCACTGTCGTTGCTGCTAGGCCGCCGCGTCGTCAAATGAAGATTACAGACTGTCACGCAAAGTTAATAAATTACTGCATGTTTTTTGTTCTTTCATCGCACTCCCCGAAGGTTTCTTTTTTTTTTTTTTTTTGACAGGTAAGTGAGCGACCTGACGCTATTTCGGTTAAGCAGTACCATCGTTTAGTAAGTACTTTTTCCGAGCTCCAGCCAGCTACGGTTTAACAAGGTTTCTTTGTACTTACAACACCACCATACTGCATCATTTCGATGCAAGTGCTCCCACAGAAATCCACACAGATGCTAGCGGTGTCGGTCTTGGCGCTGCACTTGCTCAACGAAAGCCTGGTTACCAAGAATATGTTGCTGCATACGCGAGCTACACTCTTACAAGAACAGAGACAAATTCTTCGGTAACTGAGAAAGAATGCCTAGCAATCACCTTGGCCATTACAAAATTTCGGCCTTATCTGTACGGCCGCCCTTTCGATGTTGTTACCGACCATATGTACGGCCGCCCTTTCGATGTTGTTACTGACCACCATGCGCTCTGCTGGTTATCCTCTCTCAAGGATTTCTCCGGACGCTTGGCACGAAGGGCTTTACGGCTCGAAGAGTACAACATCTGTGTTATTTATCGCTCAGGCCAGAAGCACGCAGATGCCGATGCTCTTTCGCGTTCGCCTGTTTCTACTGTTGCGAGTGTCTCCATCCAAGACAACTTCCTTCCACTAACAGGACCCATCGCAAAGATTCATGGATTGCGTCTCTGATGAATTACCTATATGAAACACTCACCCGGCCACCATCTCGACCGCTACACCGACAAGCCTCCCACTTCGCCATCTGTGATGGAATACTTTATCACCGCAACTATTACTCTGACACCCGGAAATGGCTACTCGTCATACCCAGGCATCTCCGTGCCAGCATATGTGCTGCTTTCCATGCCGATCTGCAGTGTGCTCACGCCAGTTTGTTTAAAACCTACGTCAGGCTAAGCTTTCGGTTTTATTGGCGCGGCATGTGCACATTCGTTCAAAAGTACATTCGATCTTGCGCAGGAGTGCCAACGCCGCAAGCATGATCCCAGCTGTCCCTACTGCACCAATGCAGCCATTACCATGCCCAGTGCGACCATTCGACCGGGTTGGAATAGACCTTTATGGTCCTCTGCCATATACATCACCTGGGAATCGATGGATTATTGTAGCGAATTATAATTTTATTCTAGCATTCTAGGGGCATTCTTCAAGCGCAAAATAAATGCTTCGGAGACTATGCTTGGCATAAAAGCTTCAATGTCAGCCCATGTAATAAATTAACTGTCAATATAACGGACGATGGACAACATTCAAAGAATGTCACAAAGGCACCTACCGTATTTGCTCCTGTAATGACGCACTCACATAAAAAATGGACCCCCAACTTCCGTAATAAAAAATTGGATTTTTTCCCCCCCAGCATAATGAACGCACCCCTAAATTCATCCACAGCAGTCCCGTTAACCACCACCTGGCACCTCCTCACCCATTAAATTTCTTCCGTTATTTATTACTTTGCCATCTCCCCTCAACTACCTCAGCTCGCTCCCTCCCCCCCTTCGCCCGTTACCACGTGCAGTATTGCTTTTCTTTTCAACTTTAATAAACGCATCCCCTACATTCATCTGTGCAATCCCACTAACCGACACCGGGGGCCTCCTCACCCGTTGGCTCTCTTCCGTTTTTTAATTGCTTTGCCAACCCCCTCGCCCATTGCCGCGCGCATCTATTGCTTTTCTTTATATCAGTGCTCGGCATGTCCCATCCTGTCTTATCAGTGTGGCACAGCGGGTTCACTAGTGGCGCCAGTGTAGAGACATTGCAGCACGCAGCGAGCGAAGATCAAACTGCGCGCCAACCAACGCTGTTGCGAATCCCCCTCCCCTTCTTTTTTAGCCTTTCTTTTCTGTTTTTTTTTTTTCCACTCTAGCTGTCCCTTTATTCCTGGTTCTCCTGTGAGTGCATGCTTCTAGGTGCCCCTCAATATCGCAGGAAGATACCACTGTTAGGGTTAAACGATTGGGAGAAAATACAGTCACAAAGCGTTTTTATGGCTTGGGCTGGGGACAGCTTGCAGAAGATTGCGCCATCAAGCACCAAAGATGAGTAAAGAGCAACAAAGAAGCTGTTTCCAAACAGTGTGCACGTATGTAATTAGCAAAAGATTAAGATATTTACCTTTTTTTTTTGCACTACCACATTTTTTCTTCTCCTGAAAAAGTTCTCATAAAATTTACCCAGCATAATAAACGTGTCCTCGAACTTTGCTCCAGTTTTTCGAGAAAAAACGTGCGTTAATTACGTGAGTAAATAGGACATTTTTAAAATTTTTTATTTACAGAGTTTCTGCTGGCTTATATAGCATACTCAACATTTTCATGACATATTAAAAACAAAAAATGCTGCGAGCACAGAGTTTGGAACGCAGTAATAATAATTTTAATAAATAATACTAAAGTGCATGGCATGAAATAGCATAATACATACATGAATGCATACTAGCATCATATAAAAGAAAGTAAAAAGAAAAAATTGTGCCATCACAAGTCAGTGCAAATATAGTGTGAAGACATCCACAACATCCCCAGGGAGACGATTCTACTCATGTACAGCTCTTGAAATAAAAGGGGCCGTATTTAAGTTGGTTCTATAAGAAAGGTCCTGTAGTTTTTTTTTTGTTTTTTTTTAATGATCCGCCTGCATGGATCATCGGACAACTTTCTCAAATATGCACTAGACTCAATGCAAAGCTGATGATGATCGAGCAAGTACATATATTTTAATTTTGTTGCGATCAATTATATTGACACTCTCGTCTAGATGTTGCCACCAGCGTGTACGTCGGCGGTGACGTAAACGTCGCCATCACTCACCGTATAGTATATGTATCTATATATATATGAAAATGCAAGGAAGAGAAAAAAACCCAAAAGACTCCGGCGCAAAATCGAACTTGGAACATCTGCGTCGTGAGTGAGAGGCGTTAACCACAGAGCCACCGAGGAGCACGTCCTTCAACGCGCGAACGGGAAGCTATTCATATCTACCCCTTACTGCTGGTGATGGGCATCTCGGAGGGGAACTATCGTGCTTTCAGCATTAACAGCAAGATGGAGCAATGAACGAGCGGCGGGGCACGCCTTCATCTGCCACGCGTACTTTGCGTCGCAAAAAGGAGTGGGTAGTCGTAAAGCCCCTGAACGCACAGTCACACGCCCTTATCTAGCAGTTGGGAGGATCTTATGTCTTGGCTGTCCTTAAG